GCTGGCAGTGCACCTTAAGCAGTGTCTTCCTGGACTCCTGTTGCTTGTATAGTCCTAGTCATGGGCCTGAGCCTGCGAAGCTGGACCAGATGTGGCCTCTTTCCTAAGGGAGTGGGGGTCACCTTCTAGTAGGGGAAGGAATTTAGTCTCACTTCTCTAGGAATCTCTGGAGTATTAGACAAGTCAAAGCAAGGTAATGAGGGACTAACACAACCTCAGAGGACCACTGAGTAAAAATCCTTCCAGGTGTGTCAGATTGGTAGGGCCAACTTGTCAGTTTCTATTAAGAAGTAATAGGACTGGGCTTCCTGGGTGTTAGGGAAGGTGGGTCTGGGCTTAGTTAAATGTCCTTCCACTCTGTCACAAATAGGAGATTGAAACTTAGGCGCCTCCATTCTTACCTGTAACCTCTCTCAGGGTCGTTTTTGAGGATGTAATGAGTTAATGCATGCCCCCAGCAGCAGGGGAATGGAACTCCTTTGGGGGGACTCTTATGTGTAATACTGCAGGGCTTTATGACGTTTCTGTTCTCTTGTAATTCTGTAAGGTCAGGGTTATTCCCACTTTCTAGATGAAGAAACAGGCTTAGAGCTATTGAGGTCAAGGTCACAAAACTGGCATGTGACAGCAGAGATTTAAATATAATTTGGAAGGTGACAGTTTCCACCACACCACACCACACCACACCACACCCAACTGGTAGGGTTGTTGTGATTGCATGAGTAACAGCTATGAAAGTTACCAGGAGCTATCCTGACATCCAGAAGCCCTGATCTAGAGGCACATCAGTCTCCTCTGTTGAGAAGGAGAGGATACCACTCCATGCTGTTAACATCTCTTGAGTTTTAAAATGGAGCTTTTACTTCAGGGTGACTCTTAGTTAAGTGTTCACATGGATTAATTCGTTTGCTATGGACTACGGCAGATAAATAAGAACTGTGGCAGAGCACCAGGCTCTGACCTAGACCAGGCAGGTCTGGGCAATTTCCTAAGCCTTTTATAAGGAGCACTAGATTTAAAAAAAAAAAAAAAAAAAAAAGTGGCCCTGGGTACAGTGATTCATGGGCTCGTTAGTTTGGGTTTTTTTGGTTTGTTTTCCACCTATTCTTTTAGATGCTTTTTTTCTATGGAAAAAATTATGCATGCTTGGAAAGGAAAATTTGTAGCTTATCTTTTACTTATCACCTGAACCTTCTCCTAGGAGGCAGAGTGAATTAAAGGGTAGAAAGGCAATATCTAATCAGGCTCAGTTTTCTGAGAGCCCACCAGCCCTATCCTCGAACAAGTAGGTTTTCACTATAAAGTGGTGTGACTAATCTTCAGAGCAAGTGATATTTTAGAAGTAGTTGGACCAAATGTGGTGGCGCATGCCTGTAATCCCAGCACTTTGGGAGGCTAAGGTAGGAGGGTCATTGAGGCCAGGAATTTGAGACAGCTTGGGCAACATAGCAAGACCCCATCTCTACCAAAGAAAAGATTAAAAATCAGCTGGGTATGGTGTCATGTTCCTGTAGTCCTAGCTACTCAGGAGGCTGAGATAGGATTGCTTGAGCCTAGGAGTTAGGAGTTTGAGCTGCAGTGAGCTATGATCACCACTGCACTACAGCCTGGGTGACAGTGAGACCCTGTCTCAAAAAAAAAAAAAAAAAAAAGCAACAGGCAACAGTAGTAAACCCTGTGACCTTGTGGCCAGCCAGTTCATGCTATGAAGGAGGTCTGTGCTGAGTCCTTTTGTAAAGTGAAGAGACCCTTTAGAATGCAGCGGACTGTGTAGCATAGCAGTTAAGAGCTCTGACTTGAGGTTCAAATGCTAGTTACTGGCTGTGTGAACTTGAGCCATTCATTTGACATCTTTTAACCTGTTTTCTCATTTGTAAAACGGAATGGATAGCACTATCTTACAGGATTATTGAAGATTAAATGGATTAACTGTGCAGTATTCCTTACACATTATCTGGTGTATAGTAAATGCACAGTAAATAGCAACTGCTATTATTTATTGCAAATAATTGCAGCCATTTTAATTTATAGATCTGTGGAATTAGAGAATCACGTTTGAGACTAATTTAATTTAATCTCCATCTTTTAGAAATAAGGAAACTAGTCCAGAGAGGGAAGGGGCTTATTTTAAGTGGCGCTAGTTAGTGCCAGGAGCTGGCCTGGAAGCATGAGTCATGTTCCTACTGATTGCTCACACTTATACCATATCTACACCCCATGAAGAACTTCTTGTCATTGAAGTTTCTGGGCTGTGTTTTCACTTTCCTAGCTGGGGGATGGGGCACATAGAGGTGAAGAGGGGTAGAGTGTCAGAGATTGAGCTAGAAAGCCTTCAGGTTCCATGGGTGATGTTGGGAAGAGACACAGTTACATAGTTACGGGTCCTCTGGTGAAGAGAGATCACCTTCTGGAATTCTACCCCAAAGGCTCACTCTCCTAGACTTGAAATTCGGTTGCTTTTTGAATTCATCTCCAGACTCAAGATAGAGATTTCCTCCAGGGAGGAAATGTGCAAAATGTGCTGGAAAAGGATAGGCTGCACAGGACCTTCTACCTGATTTGCGATGTTTATTTTCTGTCATTGAAAAGTTAAACAGGTGAAAGAGCTGAAGCAAATATGGCAGAGGGTGATTATCGGCACTGTGTGGTAGGGACATGCCTCTGTGTTTTGCTTTTCTCTGTTTAATTTCTAAAAAAAAAATCAGTCACATATTCTGTTATCCAGGCAGTTTAAAGATAAACTGTCAGTCATATACTTTAGAGCAGTAGTTTATTTTACTTTTTGTGTTTCTAGGAAGCATCAACTCTTTGGAGAATCTGATGAAACTAATGATTCTTTTTCTGAAAAAACAAACAAACAAAAAAAAACGACAAAAAACTGCTTTTGAAAAATGTTTACAAAGAGCTCTAAGAGCCAATGGGGAACGATTTCCTGCATGTATATAGTTAAGTTTTTTTTTTTTAAATAAGAGTATCTAAAGTATTCCACTCTTCACATAAGAAACAAGGGGATATTAAAAAATTAATGTATTTGCTTATTTGTGTAGAGAAAATACAAGAAAGATAAACTAGAAACTAAAGAGAAATCTGGGGTGGATTGGAAGAAGGGGGCATGAAAATAGCATAATACAGAGAAGAGGAGATAGATGTTTTTCTGAGCATACTTTTCTGAGACTTTTGTCTCTTAGAACTATAATGATAACTCACAAACCCAGAAAGTAAATAAGTAATTTAAAACGTGACCAGGATGTGGGGGAACCCAAACTGGAATACAAAAATTTACAAATGAAAATTAGCTAGGCATGGTCATGCATACCTGTAATCCCAGTTACTCCAGAAGCTGAGGCAGGAGAATCATTTGAACGCGGGTGGCAGAGGTTGTAGTGAGCTGAGATCCTGCCACACTGCACTTCAGCCTGGGCTACAGAGCCATTGTCTTAAAAAAAAAAAAGTTACAAATGAGTCTGTGTTACAGGTGAATAATATAACCGCACAGAAGGGCACTGTGGAAGAAAAGAACTAAAGTAACTGGAAAACAGTATTTTGGCTGGATACTATGAAGCTAAAGACAGAACTTCATGCAAATACTGTATGCTCTTAGTACAGAGGTATGGGTTAGAAGTTTGGAAGCTGTGTATACGAAGACTGAACAAATACAGAAAAACGTGGTAGCTAATAAGAGCCAGCTTTCTCCTCCTTTGAGAAAGAAGTTACAAATAAGCAAAGGAGGAAGGTTAGAATGAACCATATCATGTTAGATTGGAATTGAGCTATCAGTATGAACTCTTGGCTTTATGATAGATATGTTGATAGATACAGAATTAAACAGATTTGTGGGTGGGGGGGATTAGCATACATACCTATATTTTCTAGCTTTGTCTGCTGAAAAGGTCTGGAAGAAATAATACTCCCAACAGCAATAAACTTAGCGCCTAGATCCTGGTTTTAAGTTCCATTCCGCAATAAAAGCAACCAGGGCTCTTTGGAGAAAGGCTTGATCCCTAGGGTTGGGCAGAGAAAACACAAGATGATAGATAGCTTGTGTTGCATAAAGTAAAAATTACTCACAAATAGTTGAAGCCATGTTGAAAGAGCACAAAACTAACCTAAGAAGCCCCCAGTGGCCAAATTTGGAACACCTTGAGCAGCAAAAAAACAAATGATAGTATTAGATTATAACCATAGCATAAAATATATCAGTTAGTTGTACTGATACAAATAGTTGAAGAATAAATGGGCAGAAGGAACAGGCAGCGTGTAGGCCACCCTGAAAATCATCTTCTGCCAACTTACAGGAAGTCAGCAAACTTCCTGTAAAGGACTAGATAGTAAAGATTTGAGGAGGCCTTATGGATCATGTCTCTGGCCCAACCACTCAGCTCTGCTTTTGTAGTGCAAAAGCAATCATAGACAATACCTAGACAAGTGGGCATGGCTATGTTCCATTAAAACTGTTTACAAAAACAAGGGAACTTACGTTTGTTGACCTTGTTCTAGGGAATGTGTCTTTTAGAAGATTAGGTGTCTTTCACTGTTTACACAGTAGATCTTGTTGAGTTTTAGGGGTAGGAGGGCTTCAGTTGAGATGGTTGTACCCTGTAGCTCTTACAACATATACTTCTTGGTGCAGTTTATGAATTGTAGGTTTGGAGAGAGGTGGCTTGTGTTGTCTCTTGTTTGATCTCGTTTTTGTGTGCATATTCTATATAGTGGTATATAGTATAGATTTTGCAATCAGACACAACTGGCATGGAAAACTAGGTTTGTCTTCACTAGCTATAGGACCTTGGACAAGTCACTCAACTCCTCTGAGTCTCCATTTCCTCATATGTAAAATAGTCATATTGTTATTAGCTGCAAGGACAGAATTTTAGATGATCCACTAAGAGGAAAAGAGATACACTGCATATGTCTTCTCTAGGGGGATATGAGTGAGTCAGTTTAGGAGTCTGTTGTTGGTCTGGGGCAACAGCCTTAGGATTGTGGTTGTTAACACCTAGGAAGACCTCCGCGTGGATGGCCGTGGCTGTGAGGACTACCGATGTGTCGAAGTGGAAACTGATGTGGTGTCCAACACCAGTGGGTCCGCCAGGGTCAAGCTGGTGAGTACTGGACCATGCTTCAAGCCCAGGTGGAGAAACAAGTAGGCCCTAAGGAATGAGCTGTTAATGCCTCCTGGCTTTTGGAATGAAAATTGCTCTTGGGGACATCCAAGATCCAAGCCAAACTCAGGGAGGCGGGGGTCTATCCAGATCTGAAAGACTGCTCACTTCCTCCAAAAGCCACTTTCCAAGTCTTAGCACAGCTCCTAAGAGATTCCCCCAGGGGTGTATATCCACAAGATGAGGGAGGTGGTGGAGTACCTGGCTGCCTGCCCTTAATGAGGATCCTTCTTGCATGTGTCTGCAGGGTCACACAGACATCTTGGTGGGAGTGAAAGCAGAAATGGGGACGCCGAAGCTGGAGAAACCAAATGAAGGCTACTTGGAGTTCTTTGTTGACTGGTCAGTACTGTCTATGCAGATATTTTTAAAGAAAAATGATTTTAAAACTGAAGATTCAGAAAATGAACCTCTAGTTTGCTGTTGAACCCACTTTTATACTTATTCAGCCATCCAGCAAGCATTTACTGACCTCCTCCTATGTGCCAGGTACATAGTCAGGACTCTTGGCTTGCGTCCTGCCCTAGTCTTAACCACCTGGCGATTGCTGGGCCTTGTTTTTTTCTGTCCAATAAAGGAGGACATCTGCCAGGCAGCCTAGCACATGACTGTGATGCGGGTCAAATGAAGTGCAATGTGTGTTACGATGCTTTGAAAAATATCATACACAGACAGTAAGGATCATTTGGTCTAAAATGCCATGTTTCTCTTCCTGCTCTAGTTCTCAGAAAATTGTTCATGATTTGGTTGACAGATGAGGCCTAGGGTGAGCCAAGCAGCCTGACAGGCTGAGGAAGTGGCAGCTAGGCAGGCAGTATGGGTGCTGGGAGGAGAGAGGGTTCTGCAGTGTCTGCAGCCAGCCTTGCGCCAGAATGTCACTTTCTTCTCTGGCCAGCTTTGTGATCTCAGGCTGGTTACTCAGTCTCACTCTGGCCAAATTTCTTCATCTAAAAAATGAGGATAATAAATAATACCATGGTGATGAAGAGGAAATGAAAATAAAGTGAATACCTAGCACAGTGACTGACTCCCGATGGGCTTTCAACAAGTGTTATTTCTCCTTGTTAGCTCCACTGTCTAGGGGTTGGGGCTTTTTATTGGGTTGCCAACCAGGTCCCATCTTCTATCAATTACCTTGCTTCTGGAAGCCAGGCCTTTTTCAAGTGGGTAAGGATCTCTGGGCTCAAGCTAGGTGTAGGTATATAATGTTGACCCTGTATCAGGATCCCCAAGACCACCTCCATATTCAGAGATTTGCTAGAATTAGCATATAGTGATACTCATAGCTAAGGTTTATTACAGCAGTGAAAATGCAGTAACTTTTTTTTGATATTTCTGCCCAGGAAAGCCCATTAGAGACTCAACACCCCAGATATTTACCGAGGGGCTGGTCATGCAGACACTGCCTGCTTAATACATAATGAAGTTTTCTAAAGGAAAGCAAATAACCATATTATTAAGGTATATTAATGCTCAGCATAAACCATATTATTTGCACTATCTAGGCATAGTGGACTACCCCCATCAGTTTACTACTGACTGAGAATAGTTTGAGAACCAGGTTCCTGGATACCAGCCAAGGGCCAGTCTTACAAACAGACCCTTCTGAAGATAGCAGCCTTGGGCCATAATGGCGGCCTTTTCTGCACAAACGTTAACCCACTTTTGTAGAGTGAGTTACAGTCCTCCAGTCTGCACTTCCATACACAGAAGCTGATTCTCACAGCACTCCTGTAAGAGAGATGACAAATGAATTCTGAGAGTGTAAGTGACTTACCCAGGGTTACAAAGCTAAAAGTGCCAGCTCAGGTCTGTCCAACCTGTGAATCTTTGCTCGTTTTACTTCAGGCAGCCTGTGGAAGCCAGCTTTGGAGGGCTGTTCTTGGGAGTCCAAGAACTATCCGTGTTCATTTTTCTGGTTTTTTTCCAGCCTGCTCCTGTCCCCTGCTCTGGTCCCCCAAGTCATCTCTCCTGTTTCTGCTCATGTCTCACCAGCTTGAGTTGTCCCATGGAAAGGCCCATCCTTTAAGTCACTGTGGATGATGGTGACCTTGTTCAGGCCCCCAACTTACCTTTTCCTTTGTCCTTGGAGGAAGCAAAATGCCTCTGCTGACCTTGATCTGCCTAATTCAATGCAGTAACCAGTCACTGAGGAGCAGACAACGTGTAAGAAGCTTGTAATTTGCTTTCCTTTTCATCTCCTTCATTACCTTCTACCTCATTCGTTTTAGGCAAACCAAAGACATTCAGCTCAACCACACCGAGAAAGGGTGTTGCCCTCAGATGCTTGGTGTGGGGGATACATTTCACTGTGGCTCTGTGTCTAAACCTGACTCCAAGTTAGCTTTCTGCTCTTGTCCCTTTCTTGTCCCAGCTGTAAAGGAAGAGTGACTCTAGTGTGAGAGGATCCTTTGAGTTGCCTCTCCCCAAGATCTGGCTTCTAGAAGTATCCTATCTTTCCTGGCCTGGAGTGGCTGCCTGCTGGTCTCTTTTCTTCCTCTGTGGTCTCAAAAGGAGCTCCAGTTTCCAGGTAGTTCTCCTGAATTGATTTCTCAAGATAGTCTTAAGGTGGCACACTTTAGCTTCTTTAAGTGGCTCAGCTAATGTAATCAGCCCAGCAAGTAGAATCACCGTGAGAGAGTCACAAAACCCCATTTCCTACAGAGATAGGAGAGGTTACCAAGCATCGATGGCTGCCACCTGTATCAGAGCCTCACTTGAGTCTTCAGGGAGCATAATTATTTTAATTGCATAAACAGGCACATCCCTGTATTCTGAATCAGTGAATAGGAATGGCTTCTGGACACCTGTAGATGTGCCCAGCAATAAGGGTGCCACACGCCCACTCCCACCCTGACTCCAGGCATAGGGCATCTGCTGGAGAGCTCAAGGCATTTGTCTATCCACAGGCTGAAACATAGTTGCTACCTAGTAGAAGGACAGGAATTGGTGGTGGTGGTGGTGGTGGTGGTGGTGGTGGTGGTGGTGGTGGTGGTGGTGGTGGTGGCAGTGGCGGCGGGGGCAGTGCTGAGGGTTTCTCTTGCTGCTCTGAGTCTAGTTTGATTTAACTTCTTGTCAACAACTTCTAGTTTTATTAAATTCCCAGGAGTATAGAGGTCTCAGAAAACCAGTTGATTTTCTACTAATTCATTTCACTTGGTTTTGTCTGCTTGGGATGATAATATATGGAGCCAGGGTAGACACTGTCACCACCTCCATCATTTACTCTGTTTCCTGGGAATGACAAAAAATCTTTGATATAGCCCTCACAGCCCTTTGGAAAGACTGCTGCATGGACCCTGAGTCCTGTTCCAGAGATGCCTGGCAGCACTGCCACTAAACTGGGAGCAAAATCGGACCCTTTCATATCTTTAGTTTGCTTGTTGTAGTCTAAGAGTAGGCTCTTTTCAATGAGAACTTGGAAACTTTAGGAAAAGATGGTTTCTATCTAAAGCCCAAGAGCAAGATAGGATTTTAGTGAGCTGGTGTATCACTCTGGGCTGCCACTAGGTGGCAAGCCACCAGATTGCTTCTCAGTTCTCCAACCATTGTGTTGATGGGTTTAGGACTGTGTTTTAGCCTCTCAGAGAGGTTTGCATTTTTAACTAGGGGAGTTTAGGAGAACACTTTTCATTCACACATATTTCAGGATACCCTGCACTTGTCACTTCCCTTTAGGATCTTAACTGTTTTTCAGTGTGATCACTTGTATTTTTCACCAAAATTGAACCAGAATCTTCAAGCCCTGCATTGGTGGGTAGAGCCCTTATATCTGGGTTCCTTGCCTGCTTAATGCTGCTACAGGGGATGCTTTTCCTGGCAGAAGGGCTGGGGGTTGTTATAAAGCAGAGAGGCAACCTGCAGAGAAGCCTTTTGAGGCTAATTGTAATCAGTCTCCTAAGCTGATGAGTTAACCCTCTGGGAAACTTCAAACAAAGGCTTGCGATGAAAGCTCAGAATTTACTGTTGGTCTGGTACCCATTTACAGGGAGGCTTCTGCAGGCTCAGAAATGAGCAGGTGTACACAGAGAGGAATCAGCCTTAGGGCCTGTGTTGGGGCCAGATGACTACTGGAGGGTAAGGCCCTGAGTTAGCCCCGCCTTCTGCTGTGAGCCTGGCCTGGCCTGGCTGTAAGACCATAGATTTGCAGGCTAGATTGATTGCCAGGCAAGCAACAATGGGCCCAGTGTCTAGAGTCCCTTTGCAGGTAGGCATGGCCTTGATCTCAGCCTACCCCAGTTAAACCAGAGATGTTCCAAGCAGAAGGGTGGAGGTGATGAGTCAGAAGGGTGGAGACCTGGGAGGGGTGGCATTCCCAGGATCTTAATTTATCCAACTCAGTAAACAGTTTCCCAAAACTCTGGAAGAGGGACTGATCATGCTTTATGAAGGGTCTGACTTGGTTTTGGTAAATGGAGAAAGCATTTGGTTTTATGCCCAAAAGACCAAGTGGGTACACCCCCCACTGAAGGAGTAGATTGTGATACATATGAGCAGGTGGCTAGAAGCCTGTGTTTTTTTTCTCTCTCTCTCTAACAGAGCAGAGGAGCTTTTTATTTAGGGGTTCCATGGTCTACATTCTTTGACTCCAACATTTGTGGTCTAGTGGTAAGTCCCAAGACCAAAGCGCTCATTCATTTCCTTGAGGCAAAAGGTAAACCCAAGGAAAGTAAATCGGACTAACATTAGAATGTAAACCAAGCTTGCCAAATTACAGATTCAAGGAGAGTACAGGGAAGCATAGTAGTTAAGGGCCAGGCTGTCTGGGTTAGAATTTTAGCTTACCAGGCACACTCATCATGTGGCATTGGACAAATTACATAACTTCTGATTCAGTTTTCTTATTTCTAGAATGGAGTCAGTATCTCCTAGGGTTGTTGTGAACATGAAATGAGTTAATACACCTAAAGTGCTAAGAGTGGTGTCTAGCTCATACTAAACATTCAAAAAATGGTAAAGTTTCCCTTCTTGTAAAGTGAGAGAGTTAGACTATCTGAAGTCTCACAGTGTCATCCTGCAGGTCAAATCCCATCTGTGAGATTTTTGTTTCATATAGGGATGTTTCTTTTTTTAAGGCGGACCTTAAGTCAGGGCTGGAAAGTTTGCTTGCTACAGCCTCCATCATTCTCTGTTAGTTATGTGTGGCCCTTTGTTCAGATACATGTAGTAACCTTACTGACCTCGGTAGGCATTTGGGTTTTCATCCTCTGAGGATGGTCTCTAAGGCCCTTTCCAGGTCTACATTTCTGTCTAAATTTGTTGGAAAGAGTCCTTGGGCTGTGAGTGCCCCAGTAGTGAAGTGGAATCCTCATTTCTCTTTGTCTTCACCCATCAGCAGAATAGGGGGGTCTGGCTTTCTTATGTTACTTAAATCATTGTACCCCATTCTCCACCCTGAATAATTCCCCTCCATTTTCCCAGCTTCCTCCCCAGAGTCACTGCACAGCTATGGCACCATCCAGACCCAGGAGAGCTCAATGGGCTAAACCTTCCTCTCTGTCTGACTACTGGCTCTTCTGAAAGATGGGGTGTGTGTGTGTGTGTGTGTGTGTGTGTGTGTGTGTGTTTGTGTGAAGGCATTTAAAAATACTTAAAAATTTCCGCATTAACGCAATGTCAAAAAAAAATTAATGGCATATGATTTTGTAGATAGACTAATTTAGACAGTTGGACCTGGGAACCTCTATAAACCGTCCCCCAAGGCTGTAGAAGAGTTAATGCATTAGTCCCAGAGAAATTAGTCACACCCAGGAGGATGTGCTCACTGCATTTGGGGAAAGATAAACATTTTGAGCATAAGTATCTCTGACTGGATTTCGTGTATGCAGAAATCTCTGTAGATGTATTTTTAAGCACTTAAAACACGGGACTTAATATTGATTACTTAGTGTTTAAATTAAAAACAGGTTGTGTTTTGCTGGCTGTGCAGAGTAAAAACTTGGTCCCTGGTGACTTGATTATTTCACCATAAACAAGCTGCTTTTCTTGGCTTGATGCCTGAGTCCAGCAGAGGCAGGGAACAGCGAGGTTGCTATGACAGTAATGAAGTCTCTCTTGGGGACTTTAAAGGGGATTCTGCTGGCTCACAGTGGTAAGGAAAGAATATGTAATTAGAGAGGCAAAATTTTATGTAACAGCGTAGTCTGATTATTTTAGAATTCAGTCTTTTACCTGTATTACCAAGTGAGATTTCTTTTAGTGTTATACAAATGGGGTGGGCACTGCCATGGGCCTTCACACAGGTTTTGCATTGCCTAGAATCCTCCTGCCTTTCTGACCTGACCAGCTCTGCTCATCCCAGGTTTGAGGTCTTCTGTAACCCTGAACACTAATTGACACTCTGTGCCCCTCTCCCCCTTCCACCTCACTGTTTGCTGTCTATCCTGAAACTCCCCTCATTGGAACTGCTGGCTTTGGGTTTGCATCTGCCTCACTCAGTCTTTGGGTGTTTGGTAGCTGGTGTAGGGCTGGGTACCTTCCAGATGGGTGAGGATCAGAAGGCTTTAATACGTGATTTCATAGAGTCCATGCTGAAACCACTGGCTTCCTACCTTTCTGGTCCTTTATTGTTACAATAAAATGATTACTATAATGTTTACTTATCTCACATGCATATTAAGGATTTGTTTGTATTAGGTCAAAACTCTCAGAAATGTCCTACTAAACACTTCAGTGTTTTTAGCGTGGCTAATGTTGAATCCTGTTAGTTTTGTTGAGGTTATTCGGCATAAATACCAAGACGCTAAAAAGGAGAAAAAAGTTTTTTTCTTGAAAAATACCAAATAAAGGAGGTAACCTACTACTTATGAGCCAATAATCTTTCTTTCTCTTTAGTACTAGTGATATCTAAAGTTTATGACAAAGCTTTGACATACTATCATACATGTCTTTTAAGTCATTCCAGAAAGGTTATTATGCTTACATTGTGGTTTTTATATTGAAAATATCATAGCGCATTCTAAAGCTGTGAAACTAGAGGTGGTGTGTATGATGAAACCCCTCTGTAACCCAGACTGCTTCATTCCCTAGGGCTCTCTGCTTCCTGGGCCTGGCAGACAAGCATATTTATTATACTCTGAAGATAAGAGAGTTAATTTATTATTGGCTGAGGTTCACATTACCATCACTCTCCTATTTCTCTTTGGCTAAAGATGGCTTCTGTTAGAAACTATTGGGCCCATCACACACTCTGACAAATCCAGGTCCTAGTGCTGGTCTGGTTCATTACATGTGTCTGGAGGCAGGAAAGGTGGCGGATGCCATTCTTGCCTCATCTCAATGACTTTCTGTCAAGCAGCTGGCTCTTCCTACAGGGAAACTGGAATAAAGCCTTGCCTCTTTGCTTTTTGCACTTAGACTCACCCAGTTTTTTTGTTTCTGTTTTGTATAGTTCAGCCAATGCTACCCCTGACTTTGAAGGTCGAGGAGGTGATGACCTTGGCACAGAGATCGCTAACACCCTGTATCGGATATTTAACAATAAGAGCAGTGTCGACCTGAAGACCCTCTGCATTAGTCCTCGGGAGCACTGCTGGGTTCTCTACGTGGATGTGCTGGTGAGTATCACCTTGCTGTACTGGCCATATTCTACCTTTGTTGGAGACTAGTTGGCCTACTTTCCTTTTAGTGCTTTTTTCCTCTTCAGGTGAGTGGTTTCAACTTATAGGGTGAGATTAGTTGGGAAAATATGGTCTCCTATGATAATTTTTAAAAAAATTAAATACAACGTAGATGTAAGCAGCATATATGTAATGCCATTCTATAGTAAAATTATAGTAATATCATGGTAGCACCTAAAATTGCTCATAAAAGTTATCAGGGAAGAATGAAACAAGATGATCTCTGGATGGTGCCAGACAGAGTTGATGGGCAGAATTTAGACAGGTTGGTACATTGTGTGTGGAAGGATGATCAGCTCTTTATGTGCGTTTTCATTTAAACCTTATAAACCTGTTGCAAAAGTACAGTGCTATATTCCCCATTTATAAGTTAGGAAACTAAGACAGAGAAAGGTTAAGTAACTAGCTCAAGAGGTCTCAGCTTGCTAGTAGTGCTGTTGGATATCAAAGTGAGGTCTGTATGATGTGAATACCTTCTTTGACCTCACTGTGCCATTGCTTTTTAAACAGCTCAGAGCCTGCTTGCCCCTGGTTTCCTGGGTGAGGCCACGGAGGCCCTGCTTCCTCCCACACAGAGCCCACTCCCTTGGGGATCTTTTTAGTCCAGCCCTTCCTTTCCTCTCTTGTACTTTGCCTCCCAAATACTCCTACCCAGGTTTTGGCACTCAATAGTAACTTCTCTGTGTAGCTCTAATTAATTTTGTTGTTGTTGTTTCTGAGATGGAATCTTGCTCTGTTGCCCAGGCTGGAGGGCATTGGTGCAATCTCGGCCCACTGCAGCCTCTGCTTCCCAGGTTCAAGCGATTTCATGCCTCAGCCTCCCAAGTAGCTGGGATTACAGGCGTGTGTCACCATGCCCAGCTAATTTTCGTATTATTAGTAGAGATGGGGTTTTATCATGTTGCCCAGGCTCGTCTGGAACTCCTGACCTCAAGTGATCTGCCAGGCTTAATTTTGCTTTTGTATAATACTATAGCAGTTGGTTGGTTGCTTATGTACAGGCTCTTGTTGGGTCTGTTTTATTCCTATTTGTTAAATTTTGTGAGCCTTGAGATTAGCAACTACATCTTCCACTTCAGATTAAGGACACAAAGCTAAACCATTGGCCAAATAGATTCTTTAATGAATGTGCAGATAAAGGAGATTTGTGAACTTCATTGAAAGAAACAGCCTGGCTCTGCATGTTGGCTCTACTAAAACAGGGTGGAGCTTTCCAGATTTTTCTAATTATTTTGATATTGGATGGAGTATACTCAAAAAGTAGCAGAGGTAACCATTATCTAGCAAGTAACTATTGCAATGCTACCACTAATAGGTAAAAGTAATGAAACTACAGATCTATGTGCTTTTTTCCATCTCTGATAAGTGGGATGTACCTTGTGGTATGATTCCTGCCAAGCAGGCAATGTTTCAGGTCCTGGTTTTGAGGAGGTGGGAACTGGCAACCTATGTCCTTACTGAGGATGGTAGAGGCAGGCTTCATAGTTGCCCAGGGAGGTGCAGCCCTGTGATGTGAACTCTGGAGTTCCATCCTGGTCTGAAGAACATTATGTCCCGTTCCCTTCCCCACTAGAAAAAGTTAAGACATGAGTGTTGCAGCACACTGCATTTGTCCATGATGCTAATGTGTTCATCCTCAGTATTCATGCACACTGGTAGTTTTGTGGGATGGCCCAGTGATGGGGACGGAGGTGCTTTTGATTCAGTCAAACTCAAAGCAACAGAAGCCTGTTCTATTAGTAAAGGCTTTTACAAAACTGATGAATATTGGGACATTATCTCAGCTCAGAAGCAGTCCTCTTCAATGAGTAGGGGATGCATGGTGTGCAGGAGTATCCAGGGAAATGTGCACTGTGTCCCTGTCATCTGTAGACCTTTCTTTTTTTAAGACTCCTGGCATTTGGATTTCTTCTGAAATATTTTTTAAGGGATTTTGTTTATTTTGGAAGAAGACATGAGTTTTTAAAATGTTGTCATCTTCTGACTGGGTGCAGCGTGGCTCACACCTGTAATCCCAGCACTTTGGGAGGCCAAGGTGGTTAGACCACCTCAGGTCAGGAGTTTGAGACCAGCCTGGCCACCATGGTGAAACACCTTTTCTACTAAAAATACAAAAATTTGCCAGGCATGGTGGTGGGCACCTGTCATCCCAGCTGTTGGGGAGGCTGAGGCAGGAGGATCACTTGAACCTGGGAGGCAGATGTTGTAATGAGCTGAGATGGCACCATTGCACTCTATCCTGGGTGACAGAGTGAGATTCCATCTCAAAAAAAAAAGAGAAAAAAGTTCTCGTCTTCAAAAAAGTTTTTAATGAATTAGAAAAGCATTTTTGAAAATTATATTATTAATGAGGTAGATCCATTTTTGGCATTCACATAATTTTCATCAGTAGAGGGGTTCTTCTTCCATGAAAGCCCTGATGGGAATGTGCTTTCTGTGTGTGAGGTAGGGGACAGACCTTTGTTTAGGGATTAAGTTTTTATCCCAAACCTGAAGATGTACTGAATAGATTGAGTTCATGTTTGAAGCAAGGTAGTAGAAATCTTTGAAGCAAGGTAGTGGAAAAGAAATCTCCTAATTTCTTTTTAGCAACTGGGCTAGGTAGTCCTCAGAGCCCATGTTCAAACAGTTATTAGCTGGGTACCCTGCCATGTTTTCATACTTATTTACTTCAAACCTATTACAGTCAGATGACCCATCTGTTTCCAGTATTGTGTTTTTCTCCAGTTGGGTTATTTTATGAGAGTGAAAATTTCATGGAAATTTCACTTTGCTTTGCTTTTTGGAGTTCTTTAATGGCATCAGTTTTTGCCCCAGGTGGGATAACTGTTAAAACTTTGTTGCACTAACGACACACAGTTGACCTTTGGTGGGGAAATTGGTCACAAGGCTGTCTTTTGATGGGCTCCTTCGCAAATAATCGCTAACCTTCTTCATAGCACCCCTTCTGCTGGGCTCTGGGGATAAAGGGATGAACAAAACTACAGAGTCCCAGCCTTTAGGAGTTCACAGTTCAAATGAAGAGGAGTTACACTCTAAACAAAAACAGAAATATGTGACTTTTCTTTCTACATGTGACTTCTCACCTTATTTGGGACAGCCCAGTTGGCTTTATTCCGTAACCTCAGGCCAAGGCCTCTCTAAAATGAGGACAGAAGGATATGGCACCTTCCACTTAAATGTGCTCTAACCTTGCTTGCTAGATGAGCACATGTAAGTGTACTCAATACTTTTGCTCACGGGCAGAAGCTTGTCCGAGAGACCTTGGTCTTCATTGTAAGTAATGTAAAACATGTAGTATTTCATGTCTGAGCATCAGGTATACATTGATTATTACATACAAGAGGTAATTCCACTAGTAAATGTGAACCTGGGGTAGCAGCTGCGGCATCAGTAGCCACCATTCACTCCTCCTTTGGAGGCCAGGCATATGTTAGCAAAGACTGGAGTAACACTTGGAGTACAATTGGGAGCCATTTGGGGCAAAATAAAGGTGATCGGTTCCACCTTCAGGGCAGGCCCACCTGCCCGGAGTGCCTGTGGGAGGAGCCCACTACAAGCCACGGCCTCTGACTGTTGTCTACCACAGCCCCGGCCAGCTGTGACCTTGTGTGCATGGACCATGTAAGCACAGCCATGACAAGGCAGTGCCTGTAAGTAGGGTGAAGGACTGTGTCAGTAAGCTGCAGTCACTGTATGGGTAGCCAGGAGAGCAGCCACATGTTATGTTTATTTTATTAACACACAGTCAGCATTTCTTAGAAATCAGTGTCCTTGACCACAGAAAAGATTTAGGGAAAGAAGAAAAAAAAAAAATCAGTGTCCTGGTCGGGCGCAGTGGCTTATGCCTATAACTCTGGCAGTTTGTGAGACTGAAGCAGGTGGATCACTTGAAGTCAGGAGTTCAAGACCAGCCTGGCCAACATGGTGAAACCCGTCTCTACTAAAAATAAAAAAATTAGCCAGGGGTGGTTGTGCACATCTGTCATCCCAGCTATTCAGGAGGCTGAGGCAGGAGAATTGCTTCAACCTGGCAGGCAGAGGTTGCAGTGAGCCAAGATTGCACCACTGCACTCCAGCCTGGGCAACAGAGAGAGACTGTGTCTCAAAAAAAAAAAAAAAAAAAAAAAAAGCAGTGTCCTTTAACTGGGGTAGTGTTTAAAAGTAATGAATGATATTTGTTTTTCTTTCTTCTTCAATTCCTGTCTCCTTTAGCTGCTGGAATGTGATGGAAATTTGTTTGATGCCATTTCCATTGCAGTAAAGGCTGCTCTCTTCAATACAAGGTATGTCTTCCTGTAAACAGCTCTGCAAACCTGTGGAGAACCAGAGCAAACACTTGTAATTGAACACTGAGGAAAATTCTACTGTAGCTCATATGTGAAGATAACAGGGAGTTTTAACATTGAAAATGATGTTGTCTAATGCTAAACTCCAGAAAAGATAGATTTTATAAATTAAAACTACATATATGCATATATTCTGTATTTATTTTTGTATTGTTATAAATAGACACCTACCATACAGAAAAGCCAAAAAGAGTAGACACCACCTACAGGCCAACTGTCCAAATAGTATTACTGAGTGAACTCTATGGGGACAAGGATTTTGCCGTTTTGTACTTGCCTGTATTCCTAAGCACCATGAACAGTGCCTGACACATAGTAAATGCTTGCATATTGCTTGCTTGTACACGCGTATGTTCTAAAAACAGGTAATGACGTGAACACTTACTCCCCATTTCTTTCTTACATTTTTATAAAAAATTTACAGAATTTTCTTAAAGTGGCATTTTGTTGGTTATTATAGTGATGATACATATTAACCCTTTGTATTGAAGAAGTATCATAAAAATCACATGGCATTATGAATTTTTGATAAGAAGGAGTAATATTATCTTCTTTTAACAACTAGGGGCTCCGAGGCATACTTTTCGGTGAGAAATTATTAATTTTGTATTTTCATTTTGATGATAATCTTTTCTTGTTTTTAACCAGTTATAAAAACAAAGCTTTTTCTTTGTTGTGACAATGTACAGTAAGACTTAGTTTTTTGAGTTGACGCTAAATAAAATGAGATCAACAGGAACATTCTAGGAGGTCATGTTTAGTTTTTAGGAAGGATGGCATCCACGTGTATATGGATGAGAAATCTTGGAGAATATGATCTGGGACTGAAACTGTGGAATACATATCCAGTGTCAAGCTCTGAGAGCAGAGGGAGTTTGCTCTGGGACCTGGAATGAGTGATGGAGAAATGTTTTTTAAAAATAAACAAATAGGCCAGGCACAGTGGCTCACATCTGTAATCCTAGCACTTTGCGATGCCAAGGTGGGCAGATCACTTGAACTCAGGAGTTTGAGACTAGCCTGGGCAATATGGCAAAACCCCATCTCTCTATAAAAACAAAACAGGCCAGACACGCTGGCTCACACCTGTAATCCCAGCACTTTGGGAGGTCCGGGCGGGTGGATCACTTGAGGTCAGGAGTTCAAGACCAGCCTGGGCAACATGGTGAAACCCTGTCTCTACTAAAAATATAAAACTTAGCTGGGCATGGGGGCACGTGCTTGTAATCCTAGCTACTCAAGAGGCTGAGGCACAAGAATTACTTGAACCCGGGAGGCAGAGGTTGCAGTGAACTGGGATTGTGCCACTGCACTCTAGCCTGGGCAACAGAGCAAGACTGTGTCTCAAACAAACAATTGTGGGAGGATTCCTAGGTTTACTGCACTCCAGTTTAATGCTTATATAGTACTCACACTTAGATCTCAGGACTTTTCAAGGGCTGACCCACCCATTTTCTGTGTTTTTAGTTTTTAAATGATGTCTTCTTATATACAGAAGTTCATAATGTTAATATAATTGAATCTATAATTTTTTTCGCTTTTGTGATAACACTTTCTGTATCCTGTTCAAGAAATAATTGTCTACTCCAAGGTCATGTGGATGTTTTTTTCTAAAAGCTTTATTGTCTTATCTTTTGCTTTTATATCTATGGTGTATTTGGTGTGGCTTTGTGTGTGTGTGGTGTGAGGTAGGGATTGAGGTTCATTTTTCTTCATTTGGATATCTGATTGACCCAGCATTATTTTCTAAAAGATGCCTCTCCTCATTGGATTGTGATGCCTCCTGTGTGCTTTTGACAGGGATGAAGATAATAAAGGATAGGCATAATGTACCTTTCTCTTGTGAGACACAGGGATTCTAACTCCTATTCTCAATCTTAAAAAGAAGTGATTTTTCCTCCTTGCAGTAAATGGGAATTTTAATTGTGCTTCTGTGTCCAGGATACCAAGGGTTCGAGTTCTGGAGGATGAAGAGGGGTCGAAGGACATTGAATTGTCTGATGACCCTTATGACTGCATACGACTAAGTGTCGAGAATGTCCCCTGCATTGTCACTCTGTGCAAGGTATAAGCTTGTATTTTATGGTTTTTGTCTTCACTCTGGATGTGGGTCTCCTCTAATCCCAATCTGCTGAGATTACTTAATAGGTTGATAAATTACAATATCACACACCATATAGAAACAGCTTTAACCCAGATCCAGTAATTTGCTTGTATTAGAAACCACTGCCATGAGTAGCTTTTTCTTTTCTTTTTAGTTGGAAGATATGATGTGGCCTGGGAGCCAGGAGTGTGTTTGTAGTAATAGTAACCAGAGTTTGTTAAGCTCCTTCCACATACCATCTGCTTCAGTAAAGCACTGTGTCCTTTAATTGCCTCAACTGTATTGGGTCTAGGGTGGTTGAGTAGTGGCAGGGTGGCAAACAATGTCCTCTCTCTGAAATGGGAGGTTGGAGCAGGTCTTGGGTGTCAGGAGTGGTTTTCACACAGAGCAGAGGGCTGTGGAGCTCAACATCTGGCTGATGTGACGTATAACTAATGCTGCCCCAGGCTGTGCAAAGAGACCTGTATTGGCTATTAACTGGGTTTGTAGCTAATTCTACTCAGGATTCATTATCTCAAAATAAAGCTAAACAGGTCAGATTTAATTCCACTGAAATAACTTCATGAACAGGATGTGGTGAAGTGTTCAGACAGCAGGGTATTGGGTCTTGGCTTTTTTTTTTTTTTTTTTGAGACATAGTCTCCCTGTGACACCCAGGCTGGAGTGCAGTGGCAGAATCTAGGCTCACTGAAACCTCTGCTGCAACCCACCCTGGCCACCTGCCCAGGCTCAAGCTCAAGCAACCCTCCCACCTCAGCCTCCCAAGTAGCTTGTACCACAGGCTCACACCACCACACCTGGCTATTTTTTTGTATTTTTGCTAGATACAGGGGTCTTGCCATGTTGCCTGGGCTGTTCTCAAACTCCTGAGCTCAAGTAATCCATCTTCCTCAGCCTCCCAAAGTGCTGGGAGGCATGAGCCACTGCGCCCAGCCTTTGGCTTGTTCTTGAGCGTGCCCCTTAGCATGGGCCCTCTTGATTCCCCCTTGCCATCAGTGAAACATTGATGTGGCCTTGTGTGTGAATTTGTCCCTTGTGCCCCTCTGTTGGAAAACCTCTGTGACCTCTGTCTTGGATGGTCTCTGAATTCTAGTTTTAAACTCTCTTGCCCTGTTTTTCCATGTCATGTTTTTATTGTATCACCCACACAGTGGTCTGCGAGAATTGTTGAACATTCCTTCAACTGTTTTCCTCATGAGCAGAATCTAAAATAAGACTTGGAATGACCTATGTGAATCCTTTACCTGGTGTGGAGATTCCCACCACGAGGCCATTAAGGGTGGGGCTCTGGAGCCTGTGTGACCCCTGTGTGCTGTGCACCCTGCCTTTGCAGATTGGCTATAGGCATGTGGTGGATGCTACTCTTCAGGAGGAGGCCTGCTCCTTGGCCAGCTTGCTGGTGTCGGTGACCAGCAAGGGAGTTGTGACATGCTTGAGGAAAGTGGGGAAGGGCAGCCTGGACCCAGAGAGCATCTTCGAGATGATGGAGGTGAGGCACTGGTTCTGAGGATGGTGTGGGGACCTGGCCGGGATGCCTGCTGCTTCCTGCCTGCTTGGTTACACTGTGGGGATTCTTCCCATTCACATCCTTGACCTCAAACCTGGAGCTCAGAGAACAGCTGGTTTGAGCCAGGGGTCTGCTGACCTAACCAGGAGGGTTGGGATGTGGAGACTCTGGACTGGGAGGTAAGGAGCCTCCTGGTAACCATTGCATATCCTCAGTAAGTCCCCCCGCAACTCATTTCTGTGTGTCTAAATAAGACTGTTGGACTTCCATAATGTAAAGAGCCACTCGTAACTCCAAAATCACAGGCCTTTGTGACTTGATGAAGGAATTGAATTCTTGGTTCACTGCTTCCTATCCTTTGAAGTTGGTGAGTAAAGGTGGAAGCAGGGGTTGAAGTGTGGCTGTCTCCCAGATTCATTACAGCTCTAGAAGTGTTTAAATGGAGACAAGCAGGGATGGTGAGAAATCTGACACCCTGGAGTTGGGAGTGGGTTGTCCCTATTCCTGTCAGAGCCATGAGGGCACTTGTACAGTTCTCTGTACTGTTTTCCCCACATGTCTGTCACCTCACTAGCCTGGAAGCCCCTCAGGGCAGGGACGGGGTCCTGCTCACCTGTTTTCTAGACCTTCCTTCCCCTCCATCCACCTCACCTTTCTGACTGACTGACAGAACTTCCAGGCACGGAGTTAGCTGGATTTGATTATTCATACTTCTTGTAACCTCTGTATCACCACACATGCCCAGAGATCATTGCTTAGTAGCAAGCACTTTTCCTTCAGTTTTAGAAATGATGACCTCTTACTGAAGAATTCAAGAACATGACTTCTACTTTCTTTTTTTATCATCTTATTTAAAAGGGCAGAATGAGCACTGTATATACCATGGAGTTACCAGCCATGGTCTCTGAAGGTGTGCTGCCCTGGCTGCAAATCCCGGCTCTGGGCCGTAGTCCCCCTCATCTGCAAAGTGGGTCTGATAATAGTGTCTTCTCCAGACACTGCTGAGGTTGTTACTAGGATGATGTGAGGTGTGGAGGGGAAGCATATGTCAGAGTGTCTGATACATCATCATTTCTCAGCAAATGGTAGCTGTTACTCTCTGTGCTCCATTAAGCATCCTGAGTTCAGATTTTCCCAGACTTAATGCTGCATAAATTCTACCAAAGGCCTCTAGACAAGGGACTGTCAAACTGTTTCAGAAGGCACTCTTCTGCCTCCCAGGAGAGTTTATGAGAATTTCTCTAAGCAGCAACAAGCACAATAAGCAAATAATAGCTAAAGTTTCTTGTGTACTTACTGTATACCAGACACTACTTTAAATATATCATTTAATCCTCAATAACCTGTGAGGTAACTATTATTATGGTCCTCATTTTTATAGATGAGGAAACTGAGGCACACAGAGGCTAAACAGCTTGCCTACAGGCCTCCCTGCTCATAAATACTGGAGCTAGGATTCAAACTCAGACTGTGTGCCTCCAGAGCCCCTGCTCCCAGCCACTGTGCACTGTGCAGTGTGCAGTGTCAGCCTTACAAACCAGATCTGTCCTTGCTGTCATGGATGGCAGAACCAGAGCTCTGTTCAGTGACCTGAGCTTCGTCTTCCCTCGGGTTTGGGGGATGAGGTCTGCTAACTCTGGTCAGGGGACTATATCCCTGTGGCCCTGTCTTACTGTTTATCTCACACAGGGATGCAGCAATCTGGAAATGACTTAGTGGTGGAGCTGAGAGCCTTGGGGGTGGTTGTGCAGGCTGCTACCCCCAGCCTCTGCAGTTGCCTTGCTGCATCTGGTTTCAGAAGTGTCAAGGCCTCAAGTCCTGGCATCCTGTTCATCTCATCTCCTGTTGTCCTCTCTCCCCACCCTCATGTATATGAATAATCAGTACCACTATTTGACAGACTCAGACTTTTTTTCTTTTTCTAATGTTATGGAAAAAATCTTTCCAAAGCCCCCACCACCTTTTTTTTTGAGACAGAGTCTTGCACTAATGCCCAGGCTGGAGTGCAGTGGCACAGTCTCGACTCACTGCAATCTCTGCTTCCTGGGTTCAAGCGATTCTCCTGCCTCAGCCTCCTGAGTAGCTGGGATTACAGGCACCTGCCACCACGCCTGGCTAATTTTTTTGTATTTTTAGTAGAGACGGGGTTTCACTGTGTTGGCCAGGCTGGTCTTGAACTCCTGACCTCGTGATTCGCTTGCCTCAGCCTCCCAAAGTGCCATGATTACAGGCGTGAGCCACTGCGCCTGGCCCTCTAAGGCCTTTTTGACCTTTTACTCTAACTTTGCATTTCACAGAGGTGATCACTTCCCAGTCTTTTAAATTGAAATCATCTTTTCATAGGAGTTTTAGTTGGGGCTGGGCATGGGGCATGGTGGCTCATTCCTGTAATCCCAGCACTTTGGGAGGCCAAGGAGGGAGAATCACGAGGTCAGGAGATTGAGACCATCCTGGCTAACAAGGTGAAACCCCGTCTTCACTAAAAATACAATTAGCCAGGTGTGGTGGCGGGTGCCTGTAGTCCCAGTTGCTCAGGAGGCTGAGGCAGGAGAATCACTTGAACCTGGGAGGCAGAGGTTGCAGTGAGCTGAGATCGTACCACTGCACTCCAGCCTGGGCGACAGAGTGAGACTCTTGTCTCAAAAAAAAAAAAAAAAAGTTTTTAATCATACTTGGGATCTCATCCTATGTTACAATGAGGGGCTAGGGGAGAAGACACACAGGTCATTACTCTGGGGAGAGTATACCTGTAATGGAAAAGATTGAGACAAGGATTTAGGCATGGATGTCTTTATCTCAACATTATTGAGAATGGAACCAGAGTTGAATCCAGACTGCTGTGGGAATGTGAAAGACTCGATAAGGTAGAGATTTGTGATTGGCTCATTGTATTCTTAAAATGATTCATGGGCCCAGAGATGGAATAACAGTTTCATGAAGAATTTTTTTTTTTTTTGTATTGGGGTGGTGGTTCTTTTTTGAGTTAGGGTCTTGCTCTGTCATCCAGGCTGGAGTACAGTGGCATAGTCATAACTCACTGCAGCCCTGACCCCCTGGGCTCAAGCAGTCCTCCCAACTCAGCCCCCTGAGTAACTGGGACTATAGGTGCATACCACCATGCCTAGCTAATTTTTTAATTTTTTGTAGAGATGGGGTCTCACTCTGTTGCCCAGGCTGGTCTTGATCTCCTGACCTCAAGCAAAATCTTCTTGCCTTGACCTCCATAAGAGCTGGGATTACAAGCATGAGTCACCACTCCCAGCCATTTTGAGGTGTCTGTTTTGTTTTGTTTTGTTTTGTTTTTTAGGACCTCTTGTGTCTGCTGTGTAGGGACTGATTATTAATTTTGTGGGTTGTCTCTCTTGATGTGTTTTGATTCCAAAATTTCACTGTCCTTAGCATCTCTGCATGGCAGTAACACCAAAGATCCCATCCAGGTACTGACTTTGGTCACACCTGAGCAGTCCACTTAGAGGCTTGGTGGGAGGTGAATGAGAAACTGCTTATTAAAATGTCCTTGGCATCATCTGTTTCTTCTTCACACAGGCTCTGGATTCCCTATGGTCTCCCTATTCTTTCTTTCTTTAGTACAGTGTCACTTGGTTGTACCCAAGCCCGAATTTGGTTGACAACTTTGTGGCTTATTGTCATGGCAGCAGGATTGCGAAGCATAAGCTAATGGCCAGGGCAGGCTTTGCCGCTTCCTGTTTGCTCCCTGGTGGGGGCTGGTGTCCGTCTCTCTTTTTATTTTTATTTTTATTTTTGTTGATACGGCGATTTTTCCAAAATTTATTATGTTGTTGGGGTTTGTGGTTTTTGTTTTAACTTGCTTTAATTAAATAAAAGTCCTCTAGGGCAGATGAAATGTGTACGACGTCAGAAAGACTAGCTGGCAGAATGTGTGTGCCTTACAAGGGGGTGTGTGTTCTCTCCCGTCCCTTCTCTGTCCCACAGACCAGCAAGCGTGTGGGCAAGGTGCTGCATGCCTCCTTGCAGAGCGTTCTGCACAAGGAAGAAAGCCTGGGGCCCAAGAGACAGAAAGTCGGATTCCTGGGATGATTTGCACATCAACTGCTCAGCTGTGGATTGTTTGTTGCTTACTTTCCTTTTAAACTGGTTTGTAAATATTTTTCTTCACTGTTTTGAATTTACAGCAACATTTGTATATGTAAAATTAAAGTCTATTTTCTGATCTGGTTTGGTATGTCTAGAGTTCTTCAGTTGAAGCCAAGGCAGCATTGAGTGACCCCTCCAGGTCTGGCCCTTATCTAGTGAGTGGCAGACAAATCCAGAACTCTGCCACCAAGGGAAACCCCACAAGCTGGAGTAAAGACCTGGCAGAAAATGTTTGAAAGGCAATGCTTATGATATGTGTTTTGTGAATTTTTTTTCCCCTTGAAGAACTCTGAAAACAAGAATCACTAATAAAAGTTCATTCACCTTGTGTATTTGGGTGCTTGTGGGAGAGGAAAAAGGAGGAGGCACTCTGCCCCAGGTGCAGACCCAGGGCGTCTTCCTGACTAGTAAGCCTTCCCAGATCCTGGGGAAGTCCACCTCTGACTTCCTGCCCTCCAAGAGATCCTGCTGGAATTCCCTAGGTTCAGAGGCTTAGTGGTGGCTTTGGCCCTTAGCCAACCTTTCTTGTCACTCTTGTTTTGAAATCACTTGTGTTTTATAACCACTCCCTGGTGTTTCCTAAGATTTTGTTTTGTCAGCATTAAGAAGGCTGCTTTCAATGTCATCATTTGATTATTCAGCTGCCTTCATGCTCTGGGCATAGAAAGGAAGACTATGCTTGATTGCCCAGAAGGCTCTTCCTATAAGCCTGTAGTCTTGCTGTATAGTGTTTTAGAATTAAGTTTCTTCATGTGTAGAGCAGCCTTTGTTTTTTTTCCAGGGGCACTGAAACTCCTAAATCAGTCTTAAAACGCCCTGGAGAAGGAGCTGATATCATGAAGGAGAGCATTTCAACCGTGGCATTTGCTCTCTGCGTTCCAGTTAGACAAATGGGGTAAGGCGTTAGGAATTTATCATTAAATGGAAAGAACATAATGTGAGCTGAAGCCCTTGGGACTGCTTCCAGAGGTCCTGGTGTGGGTGTTCCTCCCAGCAAGGCCAGTTCCATCCCTGCGGAGAGAAGCAGCTGCCTAGACTTGGGCTTAATGGTGAAGCTTCTACCCTGTTGAGAGCACAGCCTGGGTTTCCATCTTTTATGTTTCTGCAGTGACTATCTACAGGCACCGTGACGGTGTGTTCCCAGCAAGGCAGAAATCAACCTGGTCTCTCCTCCCCTGCGCCTGGGTGACTGCCCATAACATGACATAACATTCGCAGTGGTGGTGCAGCGATGCAGCTTGAGTGTGAATAAAGTTTAGAAGCCTTTGTTTTTGACGGCTGATTCCAGTGGATCATTTTGAGATGTATAAATGAGAATGGGTACTGTCATAGATGTCCAACTCAGCTCTGCTTCACTTCTCTTCAGACAGACAGATGAGGCTTTACCATGCCATTGGTACGACAAATAGCTACCCTGCTTGGATGGCTGGCTAAGCACTTCCAGTAAAAATGAAGGAAGAAGAGAAAGACGGTGGCATTTAGCCACCGTCTCTAGCCATCCCATACCTTTCCCTGAAGGCCACCTCTCTGTGTAAGATACCTATATCGCAAATGAAACAAAATACCAGATGAGCAGTGGCTCTCCAGGAGAGGCGTTTATTGGAAAGATCTGATTATTGCCGCTCTTAGAATGAGAGAAGAGAAAACTGAAGACAGAGACTGGCAAAGACTTGGAAAAATATTATTCTGGGACAGACCTGTTTCATTCAGCAGAGCCACAGCTGTCTTTAGTGGCCTTTAAATAAATATCAGGTAGACGAATATTGAAGTTGTTCAAAAAATAAGGGCGGGGTATAAGAAATGCAGTGTTAACTAATATTCAAGTGGATTTTTGCTTTTATGATTTTTTTAGTCTTCCACATCACCGGTTAATTTTTTTCTTTTTTCTTTTTTTTAAGAGGTAGGGTCTCACTCTGTCACGGAGGCTGGAATGCAATGGTGCAGTCATAGCTCAGTGCAGCCCCAAACTCCTGGGCTCAGGTGATCCTCCCACCTTAGCCTCCCAGGTAGCTGGAACTGCAGGTGTGCCACCATGCCTAGCAGATTACTTTTTGTAAATATGAGGGTCTCACAGTGTTGCCCAGGCTGGTCCTGAACTCTTGGCCTCAAGCCATTCTCCTGTCTTGGCCTCCCAAAGTACTGGGATTACAGGCATGAGCCACTGCACTGGGCCATGAGTGTATAATTTTTGTTTTTTTGTTTTTGTTTTAGATGGAGTCTCACTCTGTTGCCAGGCTGGAGTGCAGTGGCTTGATCTTGGCTCACTGCATTCTCTGCTTTCTGCTTCCTGGGTTCAAGTGATTCCCCTGCCTTAGCCTCCTGAGGAGCTGGGACTCCAGGCACACACCACTACGCCTGGTTAATTTTTTGTATTTTAGTAGAGATGGAGTTTCACCATGTTGGCCAGGATGGTCTCGATCTCCTGACCTTGTGATCTGCCCGCCTCAGCCTCCCAAAGTGCAGGGATTACAAGCATGAGCCACTGCACCCTGCCGAGTTTAGAATATTAACAGTTTGTTTGCTCAGTAAAGCCGGTGGTCTCACATACAAACTGCCAGTAGAGCATAAGTCTTCGCCATTCCAAACTTTTTAGAAAACAATGTGGCAGATTGTTTTTTTTAAGGCTTTTAATGCACACTGCCAGATTGTTTTCTAAAAAATACAATAAATTTACAAATACAAAAATACAATAAAAATTTTGACTTAATATTTCCACTTCTGGGCATGTAATCGAAGTAAATAATTTAAGATACAAGCAGAGAACATTAATACAGAGCAGTTTATCCCAGTGTTATTTATACATCCCAAATAATGACCATAAAGTAAATGCTAGTCACTGGGGAAACAATGTACTATGCATTGCTCGATTCTTCTGATGGATTACCTTCTGTCCTCAGCCTCACCTCAGGCCGGCCGCAGCTGCAGGCTTGCTCCCAGTGCTTCCCAGAGACCTCCTGTTTTCTGTTCTTAGGCTCCTCTGGCACTGTGTTATAGAACATTTGCAGGAGGCCACTCAGCGTCCAGGTATGTGCAGCCCAGGAGTTCTGGGGACTCAATTCCTTCTGAGGCAACTCATGATCACTGGGGGATAGGAGCCAGTGGAGAAATGCTGCTCTGTTAGACCCCTTGGGTAGACAATTCTGAGAAGCATTAGGTACACTCGTCAAAACATGCTGGTATGATCATGCCTCAGGTGCACGACTGGGATAACTTTTTGTTTCCCTGTTTTACTTTCCCTGGTCCTTCCCTCCTGTGCCCTGTGGGGTTACTTCCCAAATAATCAGAACATGAGTTGTCTCAGGCTCTGCTTTTGGGGGAAAACCCAGACTAAGCAATTGGTACCAGTAGTTGGGATGGATATAATACAACTGGGATGTCATAAATGGGTTGGAATAAAAACCACAATGGTAAGAAGGGTCAAGGTTGGAAACTGCTTCCCCTCCCTGGCCAAGATCATGAATCAGAGACAATACTGGATCTTGGGAGAAATTGCAGAGATTAAGACCAACATCAAAGACTTGAAGGATGCAAGATTGAAATCTCCTGTATTCCCACCTTATTGCCATTTAATTGATCTTTGTGTACCCTGTAAATCCAGATGAATCATGGTAGGTTAGAAGACCACCAAACACACAAGTGAGAGCTCCAACTTCTGCTGCTTTGTTGGATGAAGTATCTTCACTAAGATTAATCAGCACAGCCTCCAGTGCTTTGTATGTGGCTATAGGGTAGGCAAATTCTTCCTTAATCCCCCTCAATAAGAAGGGTCAAAAGCAGATCTCTTATGTGGAAGGTCTGCAAAATGTGTTCATTGTCTTGGCACCGGTCTATGTTATTCACCGACTTTTTGTCACAGTGTTATCTTCAGGGCCATCATGCTGATCTGTTTATGTAGATAAAATCCGGATTTTTAGATCTAGTACAGAGGACGAGGCAAGCCGTTGGAAGTTCTAGGAAAAGACATGCGTGAGAGGGTGGGAAATAAATGCCATGAAGGTTCATGTAGGCACCACATTGGTAATGTTTCTAGGTATTAATGGTGAGGAACATTCTGAGAGATGCCCCCTTCATGTAAGCACCGCATTGATAATGATTTTAGGTATTAATGGTGTGGGTCATTCTGAGAGATACCCCCCTAAGGTGGTAGATTTGGAACCTTACACCGACCCTCATCCCCACTATCCTCACTAAGAACTGTAGCACTTGTTACACTTCTGGATTTTGGAGACAAAAATGCAGTACTTGAGAATACTGTCTCAATGTATTTACTGAGTAATTCACAAACCTGCCAGTTGTGAGTGGGAGTCTACAACAAGACAGGACTCTGAAGGCTGTATAAGCTGCATTATGAACAGCGCCCCTGCTCCACGTGACCCAGAAATTCCAATAGAGCTAGTGCTCTGTGGGGCAGATAAGGGTGCTGTGTAGTTTTTGGCAGGCCCAACAGGAAAGTTGCAGCACAGACCCTAAGATTCTGGAGTAAGGCCATGTGGTGGAAAACTATTCACCTCCAAATGAGTGAGTTTGAAAAGAATTTTCTGGCCTCCCACTGGGCTCAATTAGAGACTGAATACCCAACCCTGGGACCTCAAGTGACCTGAGCCACCCATCATGCTTGTTATTGTCAGACTCACCAGGTCATAAGGTTGGGTGGGTGCAGCAACAATCCATGCAGCATGAAAATGTACATTTAGGATTAGACCTGAGCAGTTCGGTGGGCACAACCAAGGAATATAGCAGGTAGCCCAGATTCCTCTGTCTCCACTGTTCACCAGTGCCTCCCATCCACACTTAAGGCCTCATGGGGGAGGGGACTCCTGCAGCCAGCTTCCGGAAGAGGGAAACCCAAGGAAAACCCCAGGTCTGGCTTGTGGATGAGTTGGTTCTCTATATTGATGGGTGCTCCAAAGGGACTGCTGCTGCATTACAGCCCTGCAGGACAGCAGCGAGAAAACTGAGTGCAGCAGTGCACTTGGTTGTTGAGTTTGCACAAAGGGATAAAGATAGACATGGATTCCTGGGTAGTAGGGAGTGACTTGGCTAGTTGGACAGAGGCCTGAAAGGAGTAAGATGGTATGGTCAGAGAAAAGGGATGTGTATGGACTTGTGAAATGGGCCAAAAAAGGGCAGATAGTGGAGGATCATGTTAATACCCATACCCATCAGAGGACTTTTTTTTTTTTTTTTTTTCTTTTTAAGATGGGGTTTCACCGTGATGGCCAGGCTGGTCTTGAACTCCTGACCTCAGGTGATCCACCCACCTTGGCCTTCCAAAGTGCTAGGATTACAGGCGTGAGCCACTGCACCCGGCCCAAGAGGACTTTTTTTAGGGGAGGTGTTCAACAAGGTTTTGACTTCAGTTCTGGGTGGGATGTGTAGGTCATGGCAGACCACCGTTCATGCTGCTGCAGCGAAAATTGCTGGATGCATTTCAGGAGTCATCATTAAAGATTCTGGAAAGCTCTGAAAGAGGATTGCATGGCCTAAAATTCCGGAGAAGGGGGAGACTTTCTGGAGTGAGCAGCCTGTCACCAGCATTTCCTTCCTGGGGCATCTGCAGATTCTGGAGGTGGAATAAGAATCAGGCTTGGGCACATAGAGGAAGGAACTCCATGGGGGAAGGGGAAACCTGCAAAACCTCTGGCAAAGCTGTGTAGGGATAGTGTGATGATTTAGAAACTCAAGGATCCCTAAACATATTTGTCAAATTCTCAGACTTGATGGGAAGTCAGGGAGTTTCAGTTAAAGAAGATCGAAATCTCCTGTAGCATCCTATAGAGCTAATCTGTTTTTCTCCTCTTACGTGAGCTATTGTAGCTGAAGGCATCAGGTAAGTGCGTGCCCAGTTTATTATTTCCAAAGTTACAAATCAGGTTATTTACTTACTGTCCCTTGGAGTGGAAGGACTTGAGATGTGGAAAGAGGCTGTCGAGCTTCTTGACACACCGGGGCAGCGTGGTGGCTCAGACCACCCCTCCTCCTTCCCACAACTTTGCAGGTTGCTCAGCTGTCTCCCATGGGAGAACTCAGTTTCCTCTTTGAAAGAATCCCATGTGCAAGCAGGATAGAGATTATTACCCCACTTTACATTAAGAGGAGTTTGGTCTTCAGTAACTTGTCCAAAAAGACACAAGTGCCAGGTATCTCAGCCAAATTTGGAACTCAGGACTCATTTCTCTTTCCACTGCCACACTTCAGAGCTTTAAGGATAAAACAACAAGGACTGTGAGCCCTTGAGAGCCAAAACTTGGCTGAGTGGCTTATTGCTGTCCCCCAGGACCTACCTAACTCAGGGCCTGATATACAGGGGCAGAGCCAGTATTTGAATGAATGACAGAGTATTAGGCCAACAAAGTTTTTTGTCTTGTTTTTGTTTTGTTTTGTTTTTCCTTAGAGATAGGGTCTTCCTATGTCACCCAGGCTGGAGTGCAGTAGTATGATCATAGTTCACTGCAGCCTCCAACTCCTGGGCTCAGGCAATCCTCCTCCCAGCTCTGCCTCCTAAAGAGTAGGGATTACAGGTGTGATCCGCTGTACCAGGCTATATAGATGCTCTTACCTTTGAAGAGCATGTGGAAAGTTCTCTGCCTGTGTTGCAGGCTGGGCTACATTTTTGTTGGCATGGGGCCAGTGGAACTAAAAGGAAACATCTGTGCCGGGTGAGGGGTGGAATGGTTCCATGGTGGGCCAGAAGTTTGCATGTTATTTGGGCTAATATGGGTGGAGTGACCAGAGCTTATTTTGTATAACTGAGACTTCCAACAGCTTTCAGAAAATAAAAGAAGGGGGGGGGGGGAGAAACCCAAGAAAGCTGAAATACGCCTCTAGAGCTCTCTTCCTATTTCTTTGCCTCTGTGTTTTGTTATTAAGATCACTTGTTGTACAGGGAAATTAATATGAAAAGACTGGGCTGTGAGAGTGGTGTGTTGGTGAACAGACATTTCCTTGAGAGTTGGGGGTCACGCATGAGTATTAATGCAGCATCACTCTCTTGGCTGAAGCCACCCCCACTTGCTGTACCATGGGTCAGTTGGGGTCTCGTGGACAGTGTCGGCGGATCTTGAGTGCAAGGAAGATGAAATTTATATTATCTTCCATATGTAGAAGGTAACACTGGCTCCACCAGGGCTATGGGTGAATCCACTGCAGGTGTCTGCAATGGCATTCCACACCTGGCCAGGGAGAGTTGGGGGTGGACAAGAGGACCTGGATATTAAATGGCCATAAACGCAACAGTGGCAACAAATGAGTCCTGGGTGCAACAAAGAGCCCGTGAATCTATGGCTTCCTGAATAGACGGTCTGGTCTGCCCACAGGAGGCACAGGCCCTGGCTCAGGAAAGCCCTTGAAAGCAAGTTTTGTTCTGGGATCTGCACCACAATGAAGTCCACAACAAACACAATTTTATGCAAAGAGGATTCTCTGGAAGTTTGAAGCAGATTGAAATCTGTAGTATTCAGGAACCATATTGTAGAGGAACAATTAAAAGGAAAGCAGGAACAGAACATGGAGAAGGGACAGTCAAAGGACATGCTGGCCAGTGGCTGACCTCTCATGTGACTGCTCCAGAGGCCAGCACTAGGAACTGCAAGGTGGTTTCTCAGAGGCCAACCTGCCCCACCTTAGGGGGATCCTGAGGACAAGCCAAGTGTCTAACGATGGACTTAGTTGCTTTTCAGGTGATGAGCTGCCTGTGCCTGGAACAGTTTAAGCAACATATGGAAACATCTGACAGGGTCAGTGGAAAGGGACATCCACCGTCGAGGGGTGGTTAGACTAGATAGCCTCTTCTAACCTACTTTTTAACTCAGAGATCAAGAGACATTGGACTACTGCTTTTTTTTTTAGTTTTTAAATTTTTTGTAAATGGGGTCTCCCTCTGTCATCTAGGCTGGAGTGCAGTGGTGTGATCATGGCTCACTGCAGCCTCAACCTCCTGGGCCCAAGTGATCCTCCCACCTCAGCCTCCAGAGACCTGGGACTATAGGTGCATGCCACCAGGTCTGGCTAATTTTTTAATTTTTAATTTTTTTTTTAGATTCAGAGGTCTTCCTATGCTGCCCAGACTGGTCTCAAATGCCTGGGCTCCACTGATTCTCCCACCTCAGCCTCTCAAAGTGCTGGGATTTTGATTATATGTATGAGTCACTGCTTCTGGCCAATTTGCATTTTTTGAGGACCACTGAAGCAATAAAAAAATGATGACATGCCCAAACAGGGTTACTAAAAATAGTGATGTATTTTAAATGTTTATATTTAATGAAATAGCATTTTTCACACCCACAGATATGACACAGGACAATATTCACAAGACAGGATTTATTTATTTAAGCCACTGCCTTGGGGGATTCTATTTTTGCTCTATTAGAACTTTTTATTGTAAAATATACGACATAAAATTCACTATTTGGGGCTGGGCGCGGTGGCTCATGCCTGTAATCCCAGTACTTTGGGAGGCTGAGGCGGGTGGATCACGAGGCCAGGAGATCGAGACCATCGTGGCTAACGCATTGAAACCCCCTCTCTACTGAAAATACAAACATTAGCTGGACATGGTGGCATGTGCCTGCAGTCCCAGCTACTTGGGAGGCTGAGACAGGAGAATTGCTTGAACCCAGGAGGCAGAGGTTGCAGTGAGCCGAGAATGCGCCACTGCACTACAGTCTGGGTGACAGAGTGAGACTCCTCCTTGAAAAAAAAAAATTACTATTTTAACCATTTCTAAGTGTACAATTCAGTGACGTTAAGTACATTCAATTGTATTGCAACCATCTATCTCCATAACTTTTTCATCTCTCCCTTCTACAACTGTGTATCCAGAAACACTAACTCTCCATCCCCCTACCCCTAGCCCCTGGAAACCACCATCCTACTTTCTGTCTCCATGATTTTGGGGTTTGTGTATTTCTTTTTAAATTTGATTTCAGGTTCTGGGGTATATGTGCAGGTTTGTTACATAGGTAGACTTATATTATGGGGGTTTGTTGTGCAGATTATCTCATCACCCAGTTAAGTCTGGCACCCATGAATTATTTTTCCTGATTCTCTTCCTTCTTCCACCCTCCACCCTCCGATAGGCTCCAGTGTGTGTTGTTCCCCTCTTTGTGCATGTTCTCACTTATAAGTGGGAGCTAAATGATGAGAACTTAAGGGTACCTTTAAAGTTGTGAGATGAACTGGCCTTCTCTCAGAAGTGGCAGTGTGTCTCTGTGCTGTATAGACCCTTCAAGCCAAACCTAGACCAGAAGAGGCTCCAAGATAAAAGCCACTTCCTTCCCTGATTCTACATAAGTCATATTCACAGCACAGTGGACTCCCAGGTGCTCGTAGAGGAGCTCTGTGTAGCATGCACACATACCTGAAAAACCTGCAGGTGAAAAGACCAAAGACATTGCTTACTGCTTAATGGAAACTCCTAAGCCAGTCTCCTTCCTGAAGTGTGATTAGTTCACTTGCTGGGCTAGTAGAAGGGTCACACTCCCCCCATTGAAAGTGAGTCCCAACTTGCTTGTGGGCTAATGTTGAACACATGCTTACTATCTCTCTGCTGCCTCACTGGGTCCTCCAGTGCATTCCATGCTCAGCAGCCAAAGTGCTTTTTCCAAAGTGTGCTCTGATTCCAGCCCTCCCCAGTTTGGTTCTCCATTGGCCCCCCCAATGGTCTCCAGGCTTGTGTCCAGAGTCTTTTAAGATGGCTTGATGGCTCTGCTAGCTACATATCCAGCTTTATGTCTTCACTGCTCTGTCTTCATCAGCTCAGGATCTAGAACATAAGATGCTTTTGCTTGGCTCCAAGACTCTGCTCATGCATTTTCCACCTGGAGCCCTGTGCACATTCCTTCCTCCCCTCACCTGGCCACACCCTCTGTGTCTCTTCTTCAGCCTGGGGGCCACCTTCCTTCCCTGCCCTGGCTGTGTTTAGTGCCGTGTGAGATGCCACAACAGTCCCCATGGCTTCAACCATCAGCTCACCCTAGAACACTTGGGGCCTCTGGTTGCCTCATGTTTAGAAACCATACTCCGTTCATTTTTCTACCACTGAAGGGTCAATATGGAGTTGGGCCAGGGTGAGAAAACCAGGAAAGCAAAGCAGTTTAAAAAAAAAAAAAAAGAATATTAATTTTCCTTTACCATCTGCTACCCACCCAGAGTTCCAGGAACAAGGCTCCTTGTTAGGTTATGTAATCATCAGGCTCCAAATTATTTCCCGAGCGCCCAGCTGTGAATATAAAACCCTTCCCATTCTGAGAATGTGAGAGGTGGAGACCAGTGCTGTTCAGGGGCCGTGCAAATGCTCTGCTCCCACCCTTGGCAGGCCCACTGTGCACTGAGCCAGCCCAGCTGGCCTCCTGCTTTCCTGGCCTACATAACAGATCACTCCCTAATTCAGATAGGGCAAGGCGGGTCCCTGAAAGACAGGGAAAAGCCTGAAGTACATAGTATTGTTATTTTCTTTTGGAAGTCTCAAACTCACAGAAAGTTTGCAACTACAGTACAAGGAACATTTTCCCCTGAACTTTGTAAGTTGTCAACATGGTGTCATATCGCTAACACTTCAGTGTGTGTTTCCTACAGACAAGGACACTCTCCTACATAATTACAGCACACCATCAAGTAGGGACTATAACAGGGATACAGTCATGCGTTGCTTAACAATGGGAATACGTTCTGAGAAATGCAACATCAGGGGACTTCATTGTTGTGCTACTATGGCAGAGTGCACTTAGACAAACCTAGATGGCACAGCCTACCACACACCTAGGTTCTAGGGTAATGGCATGTTGCTCCTAGGCTACAAACCTGTACAGCATGTGACTGCACTGAATACTGTAGGGAGTTGTAACAATGGTAAGTATTTGTGTATCTCACACGATTTTATTCCATTGAAACAGTGGAGTAAAAATATGGTATAAAACAGCAGTCCCAATCTTCTTGGCACCAGAAACTGGGTTCATGAAACACAATTTTCCCATGGATGTGGGGCTTGGGTGATGGTGTCAGGATGAAACTGTTCCACTTCAGATCATCGGGCATTAGATTTTCATAAGGAGTGTGCAACCTAGATTCTCACATGCGCAGTTTACAGTAGGGCTCCTGCTCGCGTGAGAACCTAATGCTGTTGCTGACCTGACAACAGGCGGAGTTCAGGTGATAATGCTTGCTCACTGCCACTCACCTCCTGCTTTTGGGCCCAGTTGCTAACAGGTCATGGACCAGTACTGTGGACCAGTACTAGTCTATGGCCCAGAGGTTGGGGACCCCTAGTATAAAAGATAAAAACTGGTACACTGGTGTAGGGCAGTGTACCATTTTGGTACCATGAATGGAGCTTGCAGGACTGGACATTGCTCTGGGTGAATCAGTGAGTGAGTGGTGAGTGAACGTGGGGGCCTAGGACATTACCGTATACTACTGCAGACTCTATAAACACTACACATAAGCTGCACTACATTTTTTAAAAAATATTTTTCTTTTAAATAATAAACCTGAGCTTACCATAACTTTTTTTACTTTGTAAACTTTTGAACTCATTTTAACTTTTTGACTCTTTTATAATATTTGGCTTACCTCGCTCGCCGGGCCTGGGCGGGTGGTGCCTGCGTGAGAGGGCAGAGGCGGGGGTGGAGGCGTTGGCACTGCCACGTCTGGGCCGAGGTGGGGCTGGCGCTGAAGCCGGATCCGCATCTGGTGCTGTGCACCCTGGTGGGGGAGAGTCCGACGCGCCTGGTTGGAGCGCCGACTGCGGGGCCTCTACGGAACTTACTAGAAAGATGAAACCTGATGAAACTCCAATGTTTGACCCAAGTCTACTCAAAGAAGTGGACTGGAGTCAGAATACAGCTACATTTTCTCCAGCCATTTCCCCAACACATCCTGGAGAAGGCTTGGTTTTGAGGCCTCTTTGTACTGCTGATTTAAATAGAGGTAATGTACTCAGTTACCAATCTCATGTAAAACTAGAGTTAGCCCTTCCATTTTCTCTATGAACATTATGATGTGGCTAATTTTTTGAAATATTTGACTTTTGTACTTTTTTGGTGTAATTCTTAATTTTTAAAGTGACGGACACTCAATACCAATGAGTATGTTTCATGGCTAAGACCAAATATTACTATGAAACATTTAAAATGAGTCAAATGCAACATCACTCCTTCCTAAATAAGCCAAGATTTCCCATTAACAAAAATGAAATTATTATGCATAATAACACATAAGGAGGAATCTTAAGAAGCTGGTTGGGAAATTAAGGTGTAAATAATTTTCCTTGGATACATTAAAGGGTTTTTCTACACTTACTTCTTTTTTTTAACCTCCAAATTCTCCAAGTGAACTTCCTTAAACTTTGGTAATTAAAAGTCAGCTTTGTATTTTTCAGTTTTCTCTTTGCTAGACAGCCTGAAGGACCTAATTTTGGCCTAATTAATTATTGAGTGTAGCAAAGTTAAGATTTTCAGCCGGACACAGTGGCTCATGCCTGTAAACCCAGCACTCTGGGAAGTCGAGGCAGGCAGATCACGAGGTCAGTAGTTTGAAACCAGCCTGACCAACATGGTGAAACCGTGTGTCTACTGAAAATACCAAAATTAGAGGGGTGTGGTGGCATGAGGCTGTAGTCCCAGCTACTCAGGAGGCCAAGGCAGGATAATCACTTGAACCCGGGAGGCGGATGTTGCGGTGAGCCAAGATTGCCCCACTGGGACTCCAGCCAGGATGACAGAGCGAGCCTCCATCTCAAAAAAAAAGGATTTTCAAAATTCCAGGTTTCTTTAAGGTATTGGGTCAGCTAACAGAGACTGGAGTTGTCAGCCCTGAACAATTTATGAAATCTTTTGAGCATATGAAGAAATCTGGGGATTATTATGTTACAGTTGTAGAAGATGTGACTCTAGGACTGATTGTTGCTACAGCAACTCTGATAATAGAACATAAATTCATCCATTCCTGTGCTAAGAGAGGAAGAGTAGAAGATGTCGTTAGTGATGAATGCAGAGGAAAGCAGCTTGGCAAATTGTTATTATCAACCCTTACTTTGCTCAGCAAGAAACTGAACTGTTACAAGATTACCCTTGAATGTCTACCACAAAATGTTGGTTTCTATAAAAAGTTTGGATATACTGTATCTGAAGAAAACTACATGTGTCGGAGGTTTCTCAAGTAAAGGTCTTATAAGAAAATTGTCAAAGGAGCTAATGCTACAAGGCTACACTCTTCCTAGAGTTGAAATGTTTTGTTGCTGCAGCTGAGTGACCTCCGTAAATACTGGACTGAAAAAACATTGTAATACTACAAGTGTAATGACATTTAGAAGGTTACTTTGGGTTGGGGGGACATGCTGTGAATTTAGATTACAAATGAATATTATAAAGGGGATGATTTTTAACCAAAGGAATATATTTTTAACTTGAAAAAAAAATATTTGGCTTAAAACACAAACACATTATGTAGTTGTACAAAAATATTTATATTCTTTTTCTATAGGCTTTTTCTAGTTAGTTTTCTTTTTAAACTTTTTGTTAAAAATGAAGACACAAACACACGTTAGCCCATGCCTACACAGGGTCAGGATTATCAGGGTCACTGTCTTCCACCTCCACCTCTTGTCTCAGTGGGAGGTCTTCAGGGGCAGTCACATGCATGGAGCTATCATCTCCTATGATAACAGTGCTGCCTTCTGGAAAATCTGATGGACCCACCTGAGGCTGTTTCACAGTTAACTTTTTTTTTTTTTTTTAAAAGTAGAAGTAGTACACTCTAATGATAAAAAGTATAGTACAGTAAATACATAAACGAGTAACATGGTCATTTATTATCATTGTATTAGTTTGTTCTCACACTGTTATAAAGAACTGCTCAAGAATGGGTAATTTAGAAAGGAAAGAGGTTTAATTGACTCACACTTCTGCATGGCTTGGGAGGCCTCAGGAAACTTACAATCATGGTGGAAGGCAAGGGAGAAACAGGCACCTTCTTCACAGGGCAGCAGGACAGAGTGAATACAAGCAGAGGAAATGCCGGATGCTTATAAAGCCATCAGATCTCATGAGACTCACTATCATGAGAACAGCACGGGAAAAACTGCCCTCATGGTTCAGTTACCTCCACCTGGTCTCTCCCTTGACACATGGGGATTATGAGAATTACAATTCAAGGTGAGATTTTGGGTGTGGATGCAGCCCAGCCATATCATTCTGCCCCTGACCCCTCCCAAATCTCATGTCCTTACATTTCAAAGCACAATTATGTGGGGCAGAATGATATGGCTGGACTGTTCTCATCCAAAATCTTATCTTGAATTGTAATGCTCATAATTCCCATGTGTGAAGGGAGAGACCAGGTGGAGGTAATTGAACCATAGGGGCAGTTTTTCCCATGCTGTTCTTGTGAGTTCTCACGAAATCTTATGGTTTTATAAGTGTTTGGCAGTTCATCCTGCTTTCATTCTACTTCCTGCCTCTTTGTGAAGAAGGTGCTTGCTTCCCCTTCACCTTCTGCCACAATTGTAAGTTTCCTGAGGCCTCCCCAGCCATGCAGAACTGTGAGTCAATTAAACCTCTTTCCTTTCTAAATTACCCAGTCTCCGGCCATTCTTTAGAGCAGTGTGAAAACAGACTAACAAAGTATGTGCTTTGTGTAACTATATGTGCTCTACTTTGATATGACTTGCAGTGTAGTAAGTTTGTTTACACCAGCATCACCACAAACATGGGAGTAATGAGTTTCACTCTGACTTTACAAACCCTTATAACATCACTAAGTGATAGGAATTTTTCTGCCCCATTATAATCTTATGGAACCATATCATATATATGGTCTGTTTTTGACTGAAATATCATAACGCAGCATGTGACGACACATCACTGCTGTGTGCTCCTCAGACCCCACTGGGTTTCTCTATTTGTCCCAATTGCATCCTTGAGAATGGAGGGTCCAGTCCAGAATCACATACTGCATTTAGTTGCTCTGTGTCTTCAGTCTCCTTCAGTCTGAAACAGTTCCTCAGCCAGGAGTTTTGCAAAATGCCTCTCCATTTGGGATTGTCTGATGTCTCTCTGGCAGGAGTCCCATGGGGTGATGCCACATTCTCACTGCAGCCCCTCAGGTGCTGCAAACTTTTTATTGGTCCTGTTATTGATATTTACCTTGGTCACTGGATGAGGTGGTATCTGTCAGCACCATGAAGTTGCTCTTTTTCTCTTCAGAATGGATAAGTATTTTGTGGGCAGATACTTTGAGACTATGTAAACATCGCCCTGAAGAACATCAGACTTTCAATGCATTCCCTTACTTGTATCTGTGTGCACTGGTGGTTTCCCATCTGTTACTGTTACTATGTTGGTGTCCAAATTGTCCCTGATTCTGACCACTAAAGGTTCCTTCAAGCTGGCTCTGTGTCCTACTGACATGTTCCCATGATTCTTTAAGCATTTCCTTGTTTTCTGGCAAAACAAGTTTCGGGCTCATTTTCTGCACCCCACGCCTACTGCCCAGTGCTAGAAGCAGCCGTTTCTCCAAGGCGCTCTGGTTCCTTTAGTGGAAAGTCATATTCAGAAGCCAGTATTCAGGTGCTAGGAGTGCTCCAGGCCCCCCAGTGACAGTGGTGACTAGACGCACACACATTTCCATCTATATTTATGGGTTTATCTTTACGTATTCAAGGCCACAAGTGCACACCGATTATTCCAATTTTAATCCTACACCAATTTAAAAATTCCTATTTTAATCCTACACCTCAGGATTCATTCTAGTTTTCGCTCCATATAAGTTAACTCCCTTCTCTGACAATAGGAAACTTGACTCCCACTGTCTTGGGTAGATTTATTTGATGAGTATCCCTGTGTGTAACCAATCTCCTGACACCAGCCCACATGGATCCCCTCCTCGCCTGGCTTGGACTCCGGCACTCCAGGCAGGGCCTTCGCTTTCCAGGATGCTCTCTCCACCCTGCTGGGCTCCCACCGCCCACACCCGTCCACGCATTGAGGGCACATTCTCCCCACATCCTCTCTGATACCTCTGGGGCACCATGGCTTCTCCCTCCCCCACCTTTGTTTGGCCTTACTTGGTGGCTTTAGGACAGGACAGAGGAGAAACGGAAGACAAGAAGGAAAGGACTCCCTTGTATTTTTTTAACCAAAAAATGCATCGAGTACATGGAGACACAGCCACAAAATAATCACAACAAATATTCTAAACCAGTCAAACAGCCAGCCCCAGATCACTCGATAAGGGGGCGTTGCTGCCCCTTGACAACCTAACCTCACTGAGCCTCATTTCCTCAATGGTAAAATGGGGAAAGGACAGTGTGTCCCTCATGGTTTGAGTGTGAGGCTTCTGTGAATTAATATCAGTGAACAGCCAGCCTCAGCCCCTACCCAGGGTAGCTGCTCCACAGATGTGAGCATGACAACCACCATGTGTTTCTCAGAATCCTAAAAATAAGGGTTCCTTTCTAGAAGGCAGGGCCAGGATGCTGGGTGGGTGTTCCCTGGGCAGCAAGGCTCTGTGGCTCTCAGGCCTTCGTCCTTCTGCAGGCTTTTGTGTTTGTTTTACTTTTTTGGCACGCCTGCAGCCAAGTTGGGGAGGGTTTCCTGGACAGAGGTCCTCTGGCTGCTGCCTTAAGACGAGCAGCCTGGGCTGTGCCTGTCACTGCGTTCGGTCCCAGACCCACTGCAGCCCACGCAGCAGCATGGAGCTCTGGGGGGTCTACCTGCTACTCTGCCTCTTCTCCCTCCTGACCCAGGTCACCGCCGAGCCACAAACCCAGAAGGAGAAGAAGGCTGCAAATGCCAAGAAAGGTAAGGAGGGGGACAGGGACCTATGCCATCTTCCAGGGGGCAGGTCCCCCTCTCCTTACCTGTCCTCATGCTCCTTTCCTTCATTTTCCTCCTTTGTGAGTCATCTAGGGAACTTGAGTAAAGTGGGTTTTGGGGCCTGAGGGAGTTCACTCATAGCAGGGGTGGTTGTCAGAAGCCTAAGAATCCCTGACTCTCAGAGTTGGAAAGAACCTTCCAGATCATCCAAACTGATCTTTGCTCTCCTCCCCACTTCCCCAGTATTTTAAAGAAAGCAAGCCTTTGGCCTGGGAGTCTGGAGGTACTCAGTCCTCACCAGGGAGAGCTGCACAGGCTGGGCTTTGTAGTCTCCCAACCTCAGTTTTCTCAACTGTAAAATGGAGACAGTGGTATTTGCTCAAAGACTTCTCAGGAATATTTTATGACACAAAATACATAAAGGCTCCTCGCTTGATCCTTGATGAACAAGGAAAAGAAAAGGGAGAAATGAATTCTGATTTCGTAGCATATCACAGACTTTAGGAAATAAAAATGTAAGTCAAACTAGTCGACCAGAAGCAGCTTTGCTCTCCTCTGTAGCCTCTGGGTTTTGGGGTGTCCCTTGGTTGCCATGGCTACAGTAAGACCTGCCCTTGCAGCCCCGCCTGCATTGAGGTCACACCAGGCTGTGTTGAGACAACATCAGTGGAATGCCATGGCAATGGACCGGGCTGCCACCCCCATGGGGATCGGAAGGTAGAAGAGAGTCCAAGGGGATGAGGGTGGGGATTGAGGCCGAGAAACAAGCAGCTAGGATCAAGGCACAGAGAAGGAAAGAAGGGGCTGTGGGGGGTCTCCCTCAGGCCCTCCTGGGGCTCTTCATGAATGGGTGGTTGCCCACTGGCCAGGAGCTGGTGCGGTACCTAAAGGGACGTCAGGGCCATGGGGCCCCACAACACTGTGACAAAGAATGGGGCAAATCTGGCTGCTGATAAAAAACCGTCTTCAAAATTCAGTTTACAAAGTGAACAACGAAAGGTTCAAAAGAGAATGGATATGACACTGACATTTGCTTTGAAAAAGGGATTTATATAAGAATATGTTTTCACTTGTATATGTGTGAGTTCTTTCTGGAAGGATCCACAAGAGTGAGTAACAGTGATTACCTCTGGGGAGAAAAACGGGGGTTTGGGCCAGTCTCAACTGGGAAGGAAACCAGCTTTTTGAACTGTTTGGTTTTTAAAAAATTATACGCATATATTCCCTTCTACGAAATGTTCATTTAAAAAGAGAAGACGATACCATGCACAGTTATGTCTACGAGCATCAGCCGAAATTGCCACCAAGGGACAGCCTTTGTAAAAGATGCCGCTCCAAAGCAAGTTACAGAACTTCTGAATGTGGAAAATCATTGCCAGCTTCTCAAGTTGACCAGAGATTCAGTATTAATATAATCATGGAAATCCTGTATTCACTCATGTAAAAGAAAAACAGAGGGTCACAGCGTGTGATGCCTGGGTTCTCTCCAGGTGTCCCACTTGTACCCTGGCCCTACGTAGTCTCGATAGAAGGGGCTCCTGGAGGTCCAGGGCCAGAGGCTAACAGAACAACCAC